ATTATTAAATAAAATTTATTTTTAAAATATTGTTTATTTTATTTCAGAAAACTAATTATTTAATAATTATAAATAGATTTAAATTAATGAATTTAAATTTATTTCTATATTTACAATCTTTTTAATTATTTATTTTTAAAAGTTATTCAGATATTTCTTCGAAAGATAATTTTGCTATATTTTATTTTTCAATTAAATATAAATATTATGAATATATTTAAGTTAAGATATAACTATAATAATCTTACTAAAATCCATATTATTAAGAGCAAATATTTTATTATGTATAATCATTTCTTTGACTCCTTCTTTAGATCTCCATAATTACTTATTGGTTTTAAGAACATCAATTTTATATTTTAATCTTAAATCTGAAGTATAATTTTACTGATATAATTACTTTTTTTTGTTTTGATCTATTTTTAAATAATTAGTATATTAATGTATTAGTTATGGTGCTATATTATGAATTATAACTTAATTTCGATCTGTTTATTGTTTTACCTATTAATCTTTTAATTATAATTATTTAGCCACCTTTTTCTAAATACTTAAATTTATGTTCCATTAAGTTTTTGGATATTTAGTTAATTTAGCATTTCTAAACTTTCAAAAACTAATACTTAAGATAATATTTAAATTTTCAATTTGAGGTTTTAAGAATGATTTTAGTTTTGTAGCTTTTATTCAATATTACTATTGAAATCTATACAAGTCCTGTGTATAAACAGAATCATTTTTCTTGAGATTGTAGTTACTAAATGAATCAATCTCTTACAATTTTGCATCAGTTGAAGTTGAAGAATTACATTAAATATGTTATCCTTAATCCTTATCCATTGAAAAAAAATAGTTTGAAAATTTTATTATTTGGACTAATTTTTAGAGAATTTAATTTTTTTATTTATTAATATAAATCAATTTTATGATAAATTTAATTACTAATTTTTACTAGTATTTAAAAATAGTTAGTTGTTAATACAATATTTAAATAATGGTTGATGATGATATTTATTGAATTTGCATAACAAGAGAGAAAATATTTATGATAAATACCAGTATTTAATTATTTCTCAAAAAAACATTTTCCGAGAAGTTGTTCTTTAGAATTCTTTAAGTAATGAGACTTTTCTAATATGGAAATTCCATTTTATTTGGAGTTTTATAGTCTAAAATTAAATTTTGACTGTTAAATATCCCTTTTCATGAGGAATATGAAGACTAATAACTGTTTTAATATCTTTTCTTCCATCAATCAACCTTTCTATTAATTTATTTTCTTATCATTCGATTCTTTCTTTTTTATGTTCCTTAAAATAATTAATTAATTATTTATTTTCTATCATTAGAATTTTTATCTTTAATCTAAGGTGCATTTGTTAAACATTCAATTATCTTTAATCTGGAGCATAAGTTAATTGATGTTTATTGTTCTATTAACTAATAGCCCTTTAATTTTAATACCTTATTTATTTTACCCTTATTACTTGTAAAAAAATCTAATTTTTAAATGATCTTAATCTCATGGCCATTACTATTTGAGTGACATTTGCTACTTTAAGGAGATGTAATTCTCTTGACAGACATTAAATTCTTATG